ATTATTAGAGGCATTTCATAATTTGAAATATGTTTGGATTTTTCCGAATCTTCACTTGTGATAGCAAAGTTTTATGATGGAGTTTCCTTCAAATTTATCCCCAAAGAGACAGTGAACTTACGAATTCCTGATAAGTCATGAAACAATAGAAACATTAAAGGACGTATTAGAATGAGAAATTCATTAGGTGAAATTAGTCTATAATGGCGAGATGAAATGATGCAGGAACGATGACAGAATGGAAAATGAAGTTGATAGCTGCAGCGAGAGGTGTTTCTTTTAGCTCTTATTTTTCATGAAATATACATTTCAGAAAAATAAAAAGTGAGAAGAAACTACCGAGTGCTCCTTTAGTATTCATTCTTGTATTTTCCCCACTTGAGAGCTACTGACCTCTCAATGAGCTTGCGCATCTCCTCGGTTGTCATGCCATCCTTGCCGCGCGCATTAACTGTAAAAATAGACATGCCTATTTGACACAGCGACCACAAATACACACATAAAGCATGCGACATTTTGAAGCAACTATGAATTATTATTAATTTGCCGTCAGCCGGAAAACCTGTGAATTTTAATGATATTCTTTATCTCCAATTAAAATCACACATGATTTAATCTTTTTCAACGAAGCTGAAGACACATAATTGTTAATTTATTTTAAATAATGATGAATTGTAAGTATCGAAGAAGTCAACTCTGAAACTAGCAAAAAATTGTTATATACCTTCCGAGTGACGAAATCAAGTTAAGGATATCCAAGTACTATCATTTTTTTTTTCAGAGAAATCCTTTTCAAAACTTATGGAGGGGGGTCAAACGTTCATTTTCAGCGCAATTTCAACCCAAAACTTCGAACACTATATTTGGAAAAAAAATTTCGAAAAAGAAATTGCAACACATGACCCCGATAAGGACAGTGCTTTCGCGTCTTCAATTCCTTTTCATTGGTGTGACAGTATTTTTACATATGTAGGTATTACCGTATATAAGTTTGTTCATTACACGGTCGAATATTTATCACAATATTGAAAAATATAAGTTTAGTCTAGTTTAAAATTATAAGTAAAATATTAAGTTTCTGAAGAACTAATTGAAAGAAATCAAATTGAAGACCCTCCGATTTGTCCGCTTTGCGGAATGTTTCAAATGTTTAAATTAACAGGTGATTTATGAACAATGACAGTTTTATGAATTGAAACATTCCAGAGTAAAAATAAATAATTTTAGATTATCCAGACGGGGAAAATCTATTAATTGTGTAATCGATTGGTGAGGCCAGGTGTTGGTAGAGTCGAACAGAACTTGAATAATTAATTTGCGTAAGCTCAGTGCTTGATAAATGTGAAATAATTGGGTTGGACTAAGGAAACATTATTTTACGTGATTCTCGGTAGCAATTTTCGTGAAATCCTTTTTTTATAGTTATCATCAACACGCAGCATTTCCGCTATTCATAATACGATACAACAACGGGAGTCAAATAAAAAATTAATTGCAATGTTTTACAATAATTTTTCGAAATTTTTACTACCATTTTCCTTATTCTTCATTAAAAAATTCAGCATTAACGAATAATGACGAATGCACGACTTATTGAAGATCTTATGCAAAAAAAGGTCATTTGTGGTACCTACTTGGATATCCTTAAGTTTATGCCCGAACAGATAGACTGGACTATTACATTTAAATGGTTTTTTTCTTATTTTTATAATTTCATGATTTG